GTGTGGGAACCCACCCCCACCGTGGGTTTGGGTCAGCAGGACCCCACACGAGCTGATCTGCCCTGGTTCTATACTGGAGCCAGCTCAAGCAGGGTGCAGGGCCCAGGGCAGATCAGCTCATGAGGGAACCCTCCCCTGCCCCAGGATTGGAGTGGCAGGTGTCTGCATGAGCTGATCTGCCCCAGCCCTGCTGGCCCCAGGCAACAGCATCTGGCTCCTGTCAGCCAGCAGGCCAATCAGGGACCTGCCAGCACCCCCAGGAGAGCTGCAGGGCCAATGCTGGAGTCCTCTCAGGGGTGCGTGCCCCCAATCTGCCAGTCAGGTGACAGGAGCTGGGTGCTGCCACCTGGGGCCAGTGGCAGCACTGATCTTCCTGGCACTGAGTGTGAATTGTACCTAGCACTGATCTGTCATCTGGCAGGCAGACTGGGGACCCACACACTCAGGAGGACTCCGGGACAGCCCCTGCAGCCCTCCCAGGGGTGCAGGTGAGCTCCTGAAGATAGCTGGAAGAGAGGAGCTGGGTGCTGCTGCCTGGGACCAGGGGCAGCACCAATCTTTCCGATGCCGTTCCCAGGTGGCAGCACCCAGCTTCTCTCATCTGGCAGGCAGATCAGGGGCTCACACCCATGGAAGGACTCCGCCACAGCCCCTGTAGCCCTCCCAGGGGTGTGGGCAAGCCACCAATCTGCCTGCCTGCTGCATTTTATGTTTCCCCATAATAACCTATGGGTGCAACATCAAAACAGCATTGAAACAGCAAAACAGTTTCAACTAAATGAAACAGAGAAGTGCTTTGAAAATTAAATGAAATGAAACTTGAAACAAAACACTCTTCCATTGAATCATCAAAATGGAAATCGAATTACTGTGGCAAGACCTGCAAGTTTAACATTGGTCTCTACAGTCACAAGAGAAAATGCACTACTAGCGAGTAGAATAACTGAATATCCACTGTCACTCACTGATGAACAGATACCGTTATTAACTGACTGGACTATAATGCTCAAAGAATAGTTATCAGTGGCTCAGTGTCTAATTAGGAAGAGTATCAAGTGGGATTTCCAGAGGTCTATCCTGGATCTAGTACTGTTCAATATTTTTAATGATAGTTAAAGATAGTTGGAAGATAGTTTCTTAGTTTCATAATTGGTAGGATCAGAAGGGACCTGAGCAGTTCATCAAGTCCGACCTCCTGCCATGGCAGGAAAGAGTACTGGGGTCAAACGACCCCGGCTAGGTGATTATCTAGCCTCCTTTTGAAGACCCCCAGGGTAGGAGCCAGCACCACTTCCCTTGGAAGTTGCTTCCAGATCCTAGCCACCCTGACTGTGAAGTAGTGCTTCCTGATATCTAGCCTGAACCTACTTTCAGTCAACTTGTGGCTGTTATTCCTAGTTACTCCCGGTACTGCTTAGAGGAACAAGGACTCTCCCATTCCCCACTGGTCCCCCCCGGTAAGTTTATAGATGGGATGGAACTGAATATATACTTAGTATATTTTTGGATGGCACCAAGATGAATTGAAGACAGGATTACAATCCAAAATGACTTTGATAAATTGGAAAAAATGGTTTGAAATAGGAAGAAATTCAATAAGGACATATGCAACATCCTGCATGTAGGAAAGAACAATCAAATTTTCAAGTACAAACTGGGGAGTGATTACCTAGGTTACAGTACTGTTCAAAATGACCTGATGATTATGCTGAACTACAAAACTGAATATGAATCAGTAGTGTAAAATTCTTGCAAAAAAAGGTATACTGGTATTAACAGGAGTTTTACATTCAAGTAATAGCAATTGATTCTTCTACTCTTTTTCAGTGCTGGCAAGGCCTCATGAGAAGAACTGTGTCCAGTGGGACACTGTACTTCAAGAAAGACAAAAAAGACAGGAGAGGAACAAAAATTGTAAGAGATCTAGGAAACAGCATACATAAGAAAAACTTGGAAGAACTGGGTTATTTAGTCTGGAGAAGATTGTGAGAGATTTAATAACTTTTGAAATATAAAAAGGTGTTTATAAAGAGAATGATAATCAACTGTTCTCCATGTCCACAGAGACTGGGACAGGCTTAAATAAATAAGTAGTGACAAGCTTAAATTGCAATAAAGGAGGTTTGGGTTAGATATTAGCAAAAAGTGTCTAACTGTGCAAGTAGCTAAGTACTAAAACAAATTTCCCAGAGGTGTAACTTCCTCTCTGGAAGTTTTCAAGAGCAAGTTAGACAAACATTTTTTGGATGGTCTAGATAGGGATGTTCCTGTTATAAGCAGGAAGTTGGGCTACACCACCTCCTGAGTCCCCACCAGCCATATCTGTCTATGATTCTGTTATTCTGCTTAAATGTATAGATGCACACGAAGGCCTAGGCATCCAAGCAATTAGATGAGACTGGAACTAGGTGTAAGAAATATAGCTATTGTTCATAGTTACCATTTCGAATAAGTTGCATGTGTTAACATCGAGATCCTATTTTAAGCTTGTTTGGTTTCACAAACTGGTCATTCCTACACCTAAGATCTTGGAGGGGCTTGATCTATAAAATGTGATTTGAGTATACCTAACATACCTACCTCGCCTACCAATTAGAATCAGTCAGGAAGCTCAGGAACCTAGTTTCTAGGTAATCCTTACTATGAAGGGGTTTGAATGGTAATCCTTACCATTTGTGGGCATCTCCAACTTCCCACAAATATGACCTAACTACCATCCTATGGGCTGGGCTGAACTGAAGGCATCCTGTTACCCTCTTGTTGAAGCTCAGTTACTGGGCAACCAGCAGTTGAAGATTCATGGGGCCAGAGGGAAAATAAGAGAGAATGAATTCTGCACATCTGTGAGGGGGGCAGTGCCCAAGGAAAG